TAGCACCGAGACACTACCATCTCTAGATTCATTGACGAGTTCATTTTGATTGACAATACATCTGTAAAAATCACTATGTCCCATTCGTAATCTAGAAAGAGTTTATATTTATCGGACAGTGTTATTAATTACATATAAAATAAAGACATCTAAATATTAATCGATTAAATTTTTCATTGCCATATTATTTACATAAAAAATGATAAAGAAGCAGGAAAACTATAAATTTTGTAATGTTATAAAGATATTATAATTAGAAGATATTCATTATAATCAATAATAGTCAATACAATATATAATATTGTATAAATTAAATTTATCCTAATTATACATAATACATAATATACAATAAATGGCTATATCTTCTTTGCCTATCAATAATTATTATATATAATTAGAATTATATACCTATAGAAAAAGTCAATCAATATAAATCTAGAATATAATGGTTTTATTATATAAGAATTATTATATATAAAAAAAATTATATAAGAATTACTATAGGAGAAAATTTTATTTTATTTACAAAAGAGATTATCACTGTTGATGTATCATGTACAAATATTTATTTCCTCTATAAATAATTAATTCCATGTCTATCGAATGATTTAATAATTCATTTTTCTTAAATTTTCTTTAAATAAATATGATTATCGATTTAAAAAACGAGCATATTATTACTTGAATTTTGTTCAGATCGATATAAATAATTGACCATAGAAGCAATCCTCAATATTGACATTACTGCAAATCATATTTTAAGCATTTCTCGTAAGTTTATTGAAATTTACCATATTTATGCATCCTGTGTCTTTTAAATCATATCATAGTAATCTACTTGCAAATACAGAAATTTCACAAATAATTGGAAATTTCTGTATGATTTCTAAATGATACACTTTGAATTCCATCATTGTTAGGATTTCATAACTATAGTTTTAAAGGATCGGAAAAACCCAATTTTTCCCATTTTTCCACGGATTTTTTGATTTTTTTCCCCAAAGGTAGAAAAATTCACGCATGCTCGTAAAACCTACCACGTTTGCTTCTCGGTTTTTTCCGTAAAGAAAATAATTGAGTACAGGGTACACAGCAGGATAAGTTAACAGAAATTTTGAAATTGTATAAAAGATCTGAGTCGCACAATGTATTCAATAAAACACAAAAAACATACACTATTGCACCATTAATGTAACAATTAAAAATATAGAGTTCAAACATCATGTTTATATGATAATAGTAGGTCTAGAAAATAATTTGGATTTAAACTGAATTCATAATAAAATATTTGAAAAAAAATAAACTACAAAGAGACACTTCAAGAGTTCATTAGACCGAAGTGTGGCAAACTAGAGTTAAAAATCTGTCTACTTTGTCATGTAATATACTAAAGGAAGATTAGATTAGGTTTTACTATGAAAATAGAAGGTTAACTAAAAAATTTTAACAAAAACAATGCTACATAATTTTGTAGATCGCATTAATTTTATAAAGGAATTTAGAAATTACTTATCTTTTACGTAACAAAAAACAGTAATTTTTCCAAAAAACCAATTTTTCGGAAGAAAATCGAAATTTTTCCGTTTTTTCCCCAGCAGTTTGAGAAAAGCGGCTTTTTTAAAATTATATCCATAACACGATACAGACGTAACATTTTGTACAATGACAATATTTTTTATAAATAGTGACACAATTGTATGATAACTAAATACATAGTTCAATAAAGTCTAACGTTCAAAAAAAATAAAGGACTCATCAAGCAATGAAATATGATTGTGCTTACCATTTTTGTTTACGTAGTCCTAGTAGGTAAGTATAGATCATAAAATGATAACTCAGTAATTATCAGTAATTCCGATAACAATCCAGATAATATGGAATAATACTCCCTTAGAACGATTTGAAGCCTAAAAAAAAGAAATCTATTGGAATCAAACGCGAGCAAATTAACGTTATATGAATAATTGACGACAAATAACACTTCATAGACTCTTCGATAATATGTATTTACTCGAGAAGAGTACATTAGGTGCCAAAAAGAAGGCAGTCTCTCACCCTGCCCTCTGGGCTACGTTCCAAAACCATGATGCAAGGAGACAAGTGTGTTCTTGAACATGTTTAATTGCTTGGCCTTTCATTCCGCCATTTTTCGGCGAAAAAACTCATGCTGGATTCATACTGCATCCGATTTTCGTCGTACGACGC